TCCTCAGAAGAAACCATGCAAATATTGTAACTACAGACCTGGTCTGGATCTTTGACTCTAATATTCAGTTCATTTACTGACAGTCCTGCAGATGACTGCTCATCAACTTGGCCTATGAAGCTGTTTTTCTGTGTGCAGCTTTCAGTTTCACCTTCACACTCATAAAATTCAGGGCCATTGTCATTCAAATCTCCAATAGAAATCTGTAGTTCTCCTATTGTGCTTGCAATAATTCCATCCACATTAAGATTTGTTTCACTTGCCTGAAGTACAGGAAGCAAAAATCAGGGGGGAAAAATCAAGTAACAGTCATAAAATTCATAGATTATGATAAGTTAAAAGTACACAGTGACATTGTTTTGCCTCCAAATATCATTGCCGTTAAATTGAAATCAATCTGATATCATAATAACAGGATATAATTAAATTCAGTAAACTCACCTTTATTTGCAAAATTACAACAGCATTTATATCCAGTAATTTTTCACGGTCAAATACAGTTTTGATAGATATTTGACCATTCACGTCATTGATTTGGAACAGGTCTGGTGCATTAGTACCTGTGCAACAGGACAAAAAGGCATAAGTGGCCTAGAAAAAGTAGTTTTATTCTACATAAGAGTGGTCTCTTCTCATGGTGGCTGCCACATTAAAATCACAAGACCAGCCGAATATTACTTACTATATCTTAATCATTGGTGACAAAGAGAATAGATTATGACATTTGAGATTTTAGAGACTATGTTTACAATTGTAATTTAAAAAAAACATTACAAAGAGTAATGTTAAAATCAAATTTCCAATTGACTGACTTTCAATGCTGTAGAGGATCTGGTCATTGACCCCAGTGTCTGGATCTCTGGCTCTCACAGTAAAGACTGACGTATCCTGAGATGGAGCGTACAGAGAGAGATTCAAAGGTGAGAGGTCATTATATATATTTTTATATATTATATATATTTTACATTTGACACCAAGCGGTGCCCAAACAGTATACCACAGTACCAAAACGGTTTAGTTTACAAAGTTACACTATATCCTTAAAAAGAAATACTGAAATGTATTAATATTACAATAAACTAAAATATTTATAAAAAGCTAAAATATAAAATATTTATATCATTTAGCATTGATTTTTGCATTATGACTCGCCAGGAGAAAAGTAGGGCAATTCAAAATTAATTTTAAAAAAAAGAAAAGAAAAATGCACCACTCACCACAGCTGAATTCTCATCAATAGCAGCAAGGTTTGGTAAAGTCAGAAACTGTGGGTCGAGATTTGGCATATCCTTAACCGTAATGAATGCAAATGTTGATGAGGACTGAACCACATTTTCTTGATCATTCAGTGGCCCACCACCATCCTGGCAAAACCAATGAACACTTAGAAAATTACACAGTAAATGGGATGTTTGTAGATTTTTAGATTTCATTTTGCTTTTTTTTTTTTTAAGTAATGAAATACTGCAATGTTTTTATGCATATATTTTTAATTGTACATCCCAGTCCACACAGATATTTTCCCTCATTCAAAAAGCAGCCCATTGCTTATCTGAATATGATTACTTCATAAATAAATACTCACAGATGCAATGACTTGTATCTGATAGAAAGGACTTTTGTCAGTGAAGCTCAAAGTTCCCTCCAGGACAACAATTCCAGAAGTCTCAGAGATTGAAAATAGGCTAGTCCCTTCATTTGGTGCCACCTAAGACAAACGTACTGTATTATGAATACAATTAAAGTGAGATGTCAATGTGAAAATGTAATTAATGACATGAAGGGAACATACATTATCAATTTTGTAAGTCACAACCGCAGCCATGCCAGAATCCCTATCAATGGCGTTTGCTGTGAACAGTGTACTGCCAGCAAGTTCATTCTGTAGGAGGGAATAAGAAACAAATAAATGTGAAGAAACAACTCAAACTATCCTGAAAAAAATAAACAAACACACACACACACACACACACACACACTGTCACTTCTTGAAGCTTTCTCTGTGCTAAACCGCTCAGACTGAGAGTATAAAGTTAAATGGGAGCAGATTACAGACAGAATTAACCAAGCTCACATTCACACAGGATCATTGCATTCATCACAGCTTGTAGATCTTAATGCCTCTTAAATGTTTAGTTCACCCAAAATAACCCATTTACTCATATTATTCATGTTGTCCTAAAGCCATTTGTTCCTTTCTTCTGTAAGACGTAGAATTTTGTACAACAATGCACTTGTTACTTTTTTAATGCAATTACAGTGAATAGAAATCGAAACTTTCAAACTTCAAAAGGGACACAATAGCACCCATAAAAAGTATGACTCGTGTGTTATAGTCCAAGTCTGTATTCTGCCATGACATACGATAGCTTTATGTGAAAAAAAGAAGAAAAAAACAACTAGATTTAAGTTCTACATTTAAAGAAAGTTTCTTTCTTTTTTTTTTTTTTTTTAAACCTCTGCAATCAGATCAATGAGTCAGTTAACCTGACTGGAGAACAGGATTTATGACTGAATCATGGATCAACCAGATCCAGTTCACAAAATAATGACTCATTTACATAGCAGACAGACAGGCTACAGTTCTCAAGTTCAACACACTGACTCAATGATCATTAAACAGATCCGAACAAAGAATGGAGAGCTAGGGAAGACGTTTCAGTGAGCAATACATTTATACAGAAGGCCTACTGAAGTTATATTGGCTCCTTTATTGAGGCTACTATGATACTTTTTTTTTTCTTTTGTGGAACTTGGCAGCTTCAGTAGCTATCTTTTACTTCTCAGTGAAAATACATCTAAAGAACCTCACTCACACCTGTGTTTTATGACTTGTACGTTTTTTGAGGGGGGGGGGGAGGTGGGCATTGTCAATCAGAAGGTTTCAGCTAATTAGGCCTAATAATAAAACTGTTTGGTGAAATAGAGATCTTATGTCTATCGTCTATGCTAACAACTATGCAGAGTTTACAGTGTGACCTTGTAAAGTTAGTCTATATTTCTGGGGAAATCAAATGAATATAATGCCATATATAGCCTATTTTGTCATTCATGTGCCATTTTTACTTCTTTAAAAAAATTGAGCCTTAGCTTTCTTTCTGAAAGACAGGAGGTGAGTAAACAACAAAATTATTGGGTTTAGGTGAATTATTCCTTTAGTGTAACAACTGTAAGGTGTTGAGCAGTTACAGCATCCATGTTTACATCCTTAATGATAACAGGCTCACTCACCTCTGGAACCTCTTTATTATAGGGCAGATTTTGGAATACTGGAGGGTTATCATTAGCATCTAAAACAGCAATATAAACGGTTTTTGTCACCTACAATGACAGAAAGACATGTTAGGACTCAGGAGAGTTAATTTTCTGAGCATGGTAATACATCCAGTAGATCCAACTTACATCTGCATGAACGCCATCATTCACCACAACCTCTATGTTTAAGAGGTCATTTGCCTGAAAAAAGTAAACACATAAACATACACAAAGTTAACTGACGGTCTATTATGTAGAGTAACTGTAATACAAATTGTTGTGGAAATGATTTAAAATTCATAGTTTCCAACTGTTGTTCCTTCTTCTCAATTCAAGTATAGAAGGCAGACTTTTAAAATCCCAACAAAATACCTCTCTGTCCAGCATACTCTTCATTTTGACTTCACCAGTCTCACTGTTGACTTCAAAATGACTAGAGTATATCCCAGTGATACCATATGTTAGAGGGTCACCATCTGGATCAGATGCTTCGATTTGAAACGCAAATGCACCTGCCGGGGAAATGCATAATTAGGAAAATGTTACATTCATGCATACATAAATGCAATATGGGATTGAGCATATAGTTGAGACTGAAATTTGGGCTGATGTACAGACCTACTGGACGATCTTCTCTCACATCTACTACAGCCGTGTTAATCCCAGGGACAGAATTACAGTACGCTGCAGAAAACACAAACATGAACCAGCATGTGAGTCAAAAGAAAGCAATTCTAAGACAAAACTCTTATTTAAAACGAAATACATTTGTGAATTCTCCTCTGTAAATGACAGTAAAGCTTAATTACATTGGCTGCTGTCCACTTAAGACTGTACCATTATTGGATTTGGACTTTGAGCTAGTACAGTGTAACAAGCCACAACTTTTGATCGATGATATGGACACTGACTAATTCTCAGATACTCACAAGAAGCTAAAAAAGCAAAAAGGAGAAGTAAAGGTTTCCCCATCTTCCCCATGTTTGTCTGTAAAGCTGAAATATCAAAGAAACAAAACACAAAATCACCATGAAATGCAGAACATTTCCACCTCCAAAATTAGGTGATAAAACACTGATAACTTTACCATAATGGTTTATTTTTTTCAAATGTTATGAAACACACATGGACACAAATCTTGAAAAGAAAGATCAAGCCAATGCTGCAATTTAGAACAATAATTAATAGTATTAAACCAATCTGCCTTTTTTTTTAAAGCCCTGGAATGGTTGAATGTCATCAATGTCTACAATCAAAATTTACAAACCTATCATTCACAAAAGAATAATGTCCAAAAAGTAAAGCTTAATCTGGGAATAGGCTCTTGATCTACATGCAGTCACTAAGTCGAAAATGATATAAGGCTGATGAAGACTTACCGTGCCCAGTCTGCTCTTTGTACTATTCCAACAAGTGGCGTTCTTCAAATGAGGGAACAATATATAATATATGAGACCTTTGGCTAGTGCATCACTGGCTATTACTGTCCTTTAGTTGTAAACGTTAATCTTTAACATTGCAGCGGAGAAAAGACTGCATGCTCAATACAGTCTTCTCACCCTGTAGACAGATGACAAAGCTACTTAGTGGCACCACAAAATCAGATCCTAAAACAGTGTTCAGAGAAGGGTTTAGCAGAACAACAAGTGTGGGTAGGCAAACAAATGTCACAACAGATTATGTCCAGAATAATCCGGCCAATTCACAAATTCATTCAGAAACTCCTGAGCAAATTTAAAAGACACAAGATTAATGGAGGCTGGAATAGAGAACACAGAAATAACATGGATAGAACTAGGGTTAAAGATATGTTTATTGTTCCTAATTATAAAATGAAAAATGGAGAAAAAAAAGAAAAGAAAAGATTTATTATACCTGATTAGATGAGATCATAAAAGCTAAGAAACCACTTGACAAAGGCATGGCGTTTAGAAGGCATTTACAACCATGTGTCTTTGGATCCAGTTTTTATATTCTGGCTATTTCTTGGCATATCCCCAGTGAGCTGGACATAATGTGGTCTGAGAGATTCCGGGAGCAAATGAGCTCATTAGATATTCAAAAACCTACCTACCCTCTGCCCAGCTCTAATGAGCCCGCTTCCCTCATGGGCCTTCATAATTAACAAGAGATGGACAAAAGATTTACTCTCCCCTGTGGAGAATCTTTACTGCTACCAAACAAAAACAATGGAGGAGCTTTCTCCCGAGACTGACAGAAGAGCTTGTGTTTGTTTGTCTCTAATTGTTTGGTGTTGATCATACTGGACATGCTGTGGAGTGAGGGATCAAAATAAAGCCACTAGAGGCCTGAAGATCAACTAATACTAAAGTCAATTTTATTAGCAGCAACAGAAGCAACATATGCAATATTATGACTTTATACTATTTATATATATATATATATATATATATATATATATATACAGTGGGGAAAAT